AATATAGACATAAACTCTTCATAATGCTGACGAATATAAATACCATACCACTCAATTTTAATTATGGAGGTGCTGAAATAAGTATTTGAATTCAGAAGAGAATGTCTGCTACATGATTATGGTTAACTGTGGGCTTTATTATTACTCCCAAAGTGCAAGTCCTTGTGAGTTCTTGGCATGGTAATGTGGTCAAAAATCAGTCACCAGTGGTAGAGTCAGGTAAAGAGATAAAATGTGGTACTTCTGGAAATTGAGGCCCACATCAAGTGTTCTTCTTGTGGGCACCTCTCATAATTTATATTTTCCCTTTTAGGCACGTGCACACAGACACATATATATATCTTCCAGCAACTCAGAGTGTTGTTGGATGGCCAGGAATTTCTTGAGGTATAAATATTTATCAATAATAGTCACACATTCATCATTCCTTTCTTGAATAATTTTGTAGTGAAATGTGCAAAATCTGTGGTAGGTATTATGGAAGAAGAAGAACCAAATGCCCTAGGAATTGGCCCTAGAGAAGTTTATAGTCTAGGTAGAAAAGGATATAATAATCAGCTTCCTTGGAGGAGGAAATGGCAACCCACTTTGGATTCTTGCCTGGAAAATCCCATGGACAGAGGAGCCTGGCCAGCTATAGTCCATGGGGTTGCAAAGAGTTGGATATGACTTAGTGACTCAATCACCACCAAATAATAATATAAGATTGTTTATGATCAAGTAACTTATTAATAGCAACAAATAAACATATAAACCACAAAGAAATATTCAAGCAGAGTACTGGTCCAAAGAAAGGAAAGACCAGGTTAAGTCGAAGGCAGAGAAATTATTCAAGTGTGTCCATTGTGTGTGGCTATACACTTGCTACACACTATATACTTTGAATAAAACAGCATCAATACCTTATAGATTAGAAATTAATAATTAAAGATAGATAGTGATCTTGCAGACAGAAATAATAAATCACATATTTAGCAGATGCTGAACATTAAATTAGTAAATATTTACACTATTTAAAAGAGGTGATGAAGGAAAGAGAATCTTAGAAATTATTTTTAATTTTTTATTTTTTAAAATTTTAATTGGAGGCTAATTACTTTACAATATTGTGGTGGTCTTTGTCATACATTCACATGAATTAGCCATGGGTGTACATGTGTTCCCCATCCTGACCCTCTCTCCCACCTCCTTCCCTATCCCATCCCTCAGGGTCATCCCAGTGCACCAGCCCTGAGCACCCTGTCTCATGCATCGAACCTGGACTGGCAATCTATTTCACTATTTTATATTATTATTATTATTATTTATTATTTCTATTTTATTATTGACTGTGGCATGGCTTTTGAGATCTTATATCCCCCCCACCAGGGATTGAACCTGGGCCCCTGGCAGTGAAAGTATTGATTCCTATACACTGGACCATCAGGGAATCCCCTAGAAATTGTGGAAAATCACTGCCTCTCCTTGATTACAATAGTTAAATGCCTTGCCAGAAAGGTGAGTTTTCTGTAGTTTTTCAATTCAACAAGCAAGTCTTTTTTCAAAGAAATATTAGTAGATAATGTGTCTTTTTCTATTGTATGAGTAATAAATAAAATATACAGTATAGTCTTAAAACCAAAAAAAGGCTTAATCCTCTGGGGGCCATTGGTCTTAACTGCCTTAGACACATAGTTCTGCAAATGCTTCATCCCAATTACACATTTCATCTGTGGAATTTGCTGGCAAACACTTGTGCTTCTTAGAATTGCCAACTTCCATACTGAGAGTAGAAATCACCCATAGATTATCACCAAATGACATTAGACCAGGGGCTAAGACAATTTATTAATAGTTCTATTTTTGGCTTTGACAGATAATGATTTACCAAAACAATATTATTGTGTCATTAACAAACTCAAAGCTAAACATTTTGAGGTTATAGTTCCCATCTTTAAGAATGTCTTGCCTACATTGCAAGAATTCCAGTGTACAAGGTTGTCTTAGAGTTGCTATTAATATAACTGTCGGTGGCACCAGTGGTAAAAAAGGGAAAAAAAAAAAAGAAAATCCGTCTGCCAGTACAGACAGAATAGACACGGGTTTGATCCCTGGGTTGGGAAGATCCCCTGGAGTAGGAAATGGCAACCCACTCCAGCATTCTTCCCTAGAAAATTCCATGGACAGAGGAGCCTGGCACATTAGTTATGCTCGAAAGAAGAAAATATCAACCTTTCAAAGTAAAGAATTACTGTGAGTTCTTGCTTAGCCATGACATTTGGGATAAAGAATACCAAGGTACCAAGTGCAAAACTCAGTTAATTCCAAGTCTCCTCAGCTCCAAAGCTCCCCAGACCTATTGTTTCACCAAATCTCTCACTGGATCAGTTTACAAGTAGCCACAGGATTTAGGTTTGGCTGGTTTTCCTTTCTCCTGCCCTCCCTCTGGTGGAGGTGTTAATGAGTGAAACACCCAAGATGGGCAGCTGAAAACAACGGCCAAGCCTTTTTTGCATCCTCCACCAATTATACTGTCAGCCTTTGGAAAGGAAAAGGCTGCTGCTTCCCAGATGCCTAGAGGGCGTCCACAAGGTCTACTCAGAATGCATCTAAATGAGAGCTCAAGAAGTTATTATTGTTACTGTTCATGCCTTAGAAAGGAATAGACCTAATTTTTTTTAAGCTGGGTTAATATGTTCCCAATAAATGCCAATGAAATAAAAGTATAGAGTTCCTATTGGGAAAACAGGACAAACCCCTCCTTCATAGTAATATTTTATATTACTATGTAATATAAATACATATTTACATGTATTTATAATAGTAATATTTATAGTAATATTTATTACTATAATATAATAGTAATACAATAGTAATATTTTAATTGGAATAATGTTTTTACCTTTTAAAAAACTCCTTTATGTCTATTGTCTCATTTGATGCTCTCAACAGCCCAACAAGAGTGGGAAGGTCCTGTCATACTGGAGATCCCAGGAGAGGACTAGGACTCAGGTTTCCCAAATCTTAGCTCTGTGCTTTTTTTCTTCTGCATCTAGATAGCCTAATGCACATAAGATACATATGGTAGGAACTTTCCTAGTGGTCCAGTGGTTAGAACTTCGAGCTCCCAATGCAGGGGTTATGGGTTCAATCCCTTTTCAGGGAACTAGATTCCACATGCTGCAGCAAAGATGGAAGAACTTGCATGCCACAAGTAAGACCTAGTGCAGCCAAATAAATTAATTAATTTAAAAAGATACATATGGTAGCAAGAACAACAGAATCCTACTGATTCTAGATGTAGGGTTAAGTCAGTTACACACAAAATACAATGATCAGTACAGGATAAGCTAAGTAAATGCTGGCTACTGTTGTTGTTATTATTAAAACTTGTGTTAGAAGTAAGGATAGTGTTGTAGAGAAAAACATGGACTCTGAACCCTATGCTCTGGGCTTGAATTCCTGCTCCGCAGTGTATCTGTCTCATTAAGTTTTGTGTAAAGCTCTGGGAGGACACAACTGAGCGACTGAACTGACCTGAAAGCTCTGAGAGGAATGCTCAGATGGCAGTGCTACATAGAGAGTAGTCACTGTTACTTGTTAGCTCTAGTACTTTACAGAAGTAAAACTGTGCCCTAGGTCACATGGTAAATGATGAAGCTAGACTGTAATCCCCATCCTTCCACTTATCTCCCATAGAAATGACTTTCTAGATTACATTGTGGGCATGCATGCTCAGTCACGTCCAGCTCTTTGCCACCCATGTATTGTAGCCCACCTGGCTTCTCTGTCCGTGGAATTCTCCACGCAAGAATACTGGGGTGGGTTGCCATTTCCTCCTCCAGGGGGTCTTCTAGGCCCAGGGATTGAACCTGTGTCTCCTGAATTGGCAGGATGATTCTTTACCACTGAGCCACCTAGGAAACCCCCTAGATTATGTTATTTTCCCACAATTCCCAAAATGTGTTTTACCTTCTTTTCACATCTCCTTCCATGGCCAACATTTAGTCTCCTTTACCAAACTGATGCTGGGAGGGATTGGGGGCAGGAGGAGAAGGGGAGGACAGAGGATGAGATGGCCAGATGGCATCACCGACTCCATGGACATAAGTTTGAGTAAACTCCGGGAGCTGGTGATGGACAGGGAGGCCTGGCATGCTGCGATTCATGGGGTCGCAAAGAGTCGGATACGACTGACCGACTGAACTGAACTGACTGACTGACCAAACTGAAAGCCTTTATTTCCAAAATCAACGTTTATAAAAATTTCCATGATAAAAACCTTAACCCTAGATGTGCTCAGCTGTGAGAGACTCAGGTTATGCCATGCATGCCCATTTGCATTTGTAAAGAAGCTGTTTTGTGCTTAAAATTGTTTTTTCTTTCTGGCCATAGTCTGTAAGCTCACTAGAGGTACACTACTTGAACCCTGTCTTTCTATTCACTTCTAGTTCATTTACTCTACAGTATCCAGAAGTGGATACTGCTATAGCCCAGTGGGCTGTTCAGTAAATTACCCACTGACTGGCAGGCATTTCTTGTTTTATTCTTTTTCTTCTTTTCTTTGTTACTGGCTGATTAGTTTTGTCAGGGGCTGTCCAGACCATGCAAATTTCACAGCCATATAAAAATGAGTCCTTCCTCTAATTACGGCGAAGGACTTAGCTGTATATTCTAATGTTTGGCACCTTCCACTCTTAGGAAGGTCTAAAAAACCACAGCACAGGTTTTCAGGCTCCTGAGAGTGGTTTTGGATTTTTTTCTCAACAACAAAAAAACAGGACCGGAGGCTCGGGACTGCGAGCTGGGTGTGGACGGCGGGGTGGGTGGAGCGGGGAACTGTCTCTAAATCTTATAGGGAGAGTGTGGTTAAAAAAAAAAAAGAAGGAAAAGATACGTAGACCCCAAAGCTACTTGGTTTTGTTCTTTTTTTTCCTCCCTCAGCAGAGTGGTGGCGGCTGATCAGACACAAAAGCTGGTAGTTCCCCGCCCGCGTGAAGATAAAATGCCCCTCAACAGCATCACCAGGAGGACTGGGAAAGGGAGGAGAGGCGTGTCTGGGAGGAGGCGAGGATGAGGGTGACAAGGTGACAAACCCCGCCGCCGCGGCCCGCTCCTCCACTGCAGCCGGGCGAGGACCGGAGCTGCGAGCCACCACCCCGGAGCGGGGCGGGGTGGGAAGGGGAGACCGCGGGGCGGTGGCTTTCCAAGCGGGGGCGGGGCAAAGGGTGGAGGGAAACCTGAGTCAGCAGGCCCTGATTGGCTGATGTTCTCTCATCGCGTCCTCCGATTGGGCCATTTGCAGCGGGAGATGTTGTGAAGCGCGGCGAGGCGGAGCGAGCCGCCAGGGGTCTGGGGCGAAGCCCTGGGATCTGGCTGGGAGGGGCGGCGGTGGTGCTCCCGGCCCCGCACCGCTGCGACCTGCGGGGAGGAGCGCCGCCACCTTCTCTCCCAGTTCCGCTAGCCGCGCCGAATTGTTCAGCTGCCCTGAAGATATGAAAAGGGCAAAGGATTGAATGAATAACGCTTCGCTGCGAACCCCCAGCCTCCTTAAAGACAAGCTCTTTTGCTGTCAGGCGTTGAAAGGACACTCCCTTCTCTTGTCCCATATCGCACCCCTCCCGCTGCAGATAGGGGCAAAAACTCACCCGGACGCGTACCCCGCAGTCTGGGACCCTGACCGCCCCCCGCCCCCCAAATCTGAGTATCTAGCCGTAGAATCCTCCCCCGCTCCCCAGCCCTGACGCCGATCACAGGGTCCCTTCCCAGTGGAAGCCCAGGTTCCTGGCTGCTCCCGCTCAGCGCTCGGGAGATTGGAGAAGGCGGGGAGGGTTTTCTGTTTGGTTTTTGGGGAGGTGTTGGGGGCGGGTGAGGGCCCGACGTACATTGGGAGGGGGTTGGCGAGCACCCCCACCCACCCCCGCCCCAGGGTAATCCCCCTGCTTCAGCGTCGGTTCCCGGGACCATATTATTCAAGACAGAAAATATTCAGCCCCAGAGCCTCCCCTGGGGAGGGGAGGGGAAGGAGGTGGAGTGGGAGGAGGTGGATCCAGGGAGGAAGAAGCGAGAAATCCGCCCCCGGGAAACAGCTCGGCGCGGCTGCGGAGCGGAGCAGTTCTGTCACTTGGCGATCGCGGGCGCCCGAGCGCGGCCCCGGCCCGGCCCGGCGAGGCGAGGGGAGAGTCCGGCGGCCGCCGCCCCGCCCCACGCCCTCCCGCGGCGGCCGAGAGCCCGGGGCCGGCCGGGGCAGGTCGCAGCGGTGTCTGGGAGCGGTCGGCCGGGGGCGGCGACCTCGGAGCGCGGCGGCGGCTGGTAGCGCCAGCTCGTCCTCCCGCTCGGTCCGCTCTGCGCCCGGCGTGCGGGGCGCGCCGTCTGGGGGACCGGTCGGGCCCGGTGCGGATCTACTCGGCGCGCTTGCTCCGGTGCGTGTCTGCTTGACTTTCCGCCTCGGCGGACAGGGCGCAGCGCCGGCGGGCGGGTGGAGAGGGAGAGCCGGGCTCGCCGCGGGCTCCCTCCCTTCCCGCCACCCCGGGCAACCCCACCCGGCGCTGGCGCGGGGCCGGAGAGAGTGGTGGCGGGAGCCCAGCGGGGGCGGAGGGGCCGCGCCCGCGTGTGCGGGGCGAGGGAGGGCCGACGGGAGGAGGGAAGGGCACAAAGGCCGGCGGCGGGCGCCGGGGTCCCGCCGGCCGGCCGTGGAGGAGGGGCGCCTCCCGTGCGCTCATGAATATTAACCGAGCCTGCGGCCTAGCGCTCCCCGGCTGGGCCCGGCGTCCGGCCAGCGTCCCAGCCGCTCGCCGCGGCGCCTTGGAAGCCGGGCCAGGCAGGGCGCGGAGGGTGAGCCCCCTCGCTTTTGGCTTTTCCGCCGGGTCTCCCCACTCGTTTTTGAAAGTACATATTTGGGCCGCCCTTCCCGGGAGATCGCGCTCCCCGACCCGCCTCTGGAAGGGGCGGAGGAAATAGTGGTAGGTGGGTGGTGGTTTTCTCCCCCCCCCCCCCCCCGCCAAAAATTTTTTTTTCCCCTAGGCGGCTCCGGGGAAACGGGACGGTCGTGTCGAGGCGTAGTTTGGGGCGCGGCAACGAAATAAAAGTTGCTGGGGCTGCGGCTTCATTTCTGTGGCTCCGGAATAATGCCCCGGAGAGGGAGTCCCTCCCGCCGCTGCGCACACCTCCCAGCCCGGCCCCGCGCAGTCCCCGCCCAGCCCCGCCGCGGGCCAAGGAAAACAGCCGCCTCCTCGGGGACACCGGCCGGTCGGGGCGGAGGGCGGAGGGCGGGCGCCCCACGTCCCCTAGGCTGCCTGGAAACGCCGGCAGAGCCGCTGGCCGCGTCCGAGCCTGACTTTTTGTTTTTATTTTAGGGAGCTGGGGGGTGGCGGGGAGCAAGGCGTGTTTTTGAAAAAGTATTCTCCCATTTTAGCCTCGTGGGGACAAAACTTCTCTAAAGTCTTCTTATCCGGGTGATGCAGAAGAACGTAAGCTCCCTCTCATTTGCCCATAAAATACATGAATTTAAATGCACTTGAAAGGGGAATGTTTTTTTCTTGACGGCTGCACAAAGTCCGGGCATGTTTGAGGTAACCATCGTGCCGTTCTGATGTTTCTCATTTCCCCCTTGATTTAAAGATTTCCCTTCCTTTTCTTTCTTAATTTGTATGGGAAGATTATTTCATCTTTTGATTCATCAGCATGGGCCGAATTATCTTTCCAAGTGTTGGAAGGGCGAGCTTGGAGTAGACGCGTGGGCAAGGCCAAGGTCAGCGTCTGGAGAAAGTTCATGTCCTTTAACTTTTCCCTCTTTAGGAAAGATCTCTTTGGGAGAGCCTTCACGACGCGCTCGCATTGCTCTCGGACTTGGGAGGAGCGCTAGGAACGGAGGGGACTGCTTTCTGCAGTTGGCCTCACTGGCTGCCCAGGAGACTGGTCTTTGTTTTTTACGTCTGGAGAAATGGACGAAGACGGTGAAGGCCGTTGAAGTCGGAAGAAATCATCATCAGGGCATTTGAAAGGCGCTTCATTGAAACCTTCATTTGTCTCAGCAACCCTGCACCCTCTCGGAACCTGGTGTGGAATTCTTACCTTTTTGGTGCATGGTGGCATTTCCCTCCCAATGTGGACTCCCAAGGGTTGGTCCCTTCTTTGTAATTTGAAATGAAATGATGGCCACACGTCGGACTGGTCTGCCTGAGGGAGATGGTGACACCAAGCTCAAGGCCTGCGGGTCCCCCACCTGTGAGGTAAGTGCAGAGCTTATGTCCCTGCCCTGCTGTGTGGCTTGTGTCTCTGAGGTGTCTGTCCTGCCAGTCGGGGGCGGGGGTCAGCTGCCTTGGGGGTCTAAGAAGATGGATCGGCTTTTGGGGCTTTGGGCTGAATGGTGGGAGCGTCCCCACCATACCGGTAGGGAGGTGAAACCTTGCTGGTTTTGTTTCTAGACACTTTAGTGATTCTTTTGCAAGGGCATTTTCCTTACTTTGAAGTGTCCTTATCTTGATCATCTCAGATCACAGAATTCTCCATTTTCAGGTGACTAGGAATACCACCAGCTTGTTTGCCTTCACTCCCCAACATCTGATAGTTTGAAGCAGGGCTGGACAGGGGTTGGCTTTGTATATTTCATGTGTGTATCCAGGGTTACCTCTGGAGATTGAGAGGGGGCAGCTGGGATCCTTGTAGCTCCTCGACCACTTTCTCTCTCTGACACTGATGCAGGTCCTGCCTGCTTGCTGTTGCTGTGAATCTCTGCTTTGGGTAGAAAACCAAGTCTTTTCCCATGGATGGTTTAGGCACAGCTTTGGAAAATGGCTTAATGGAACTGTCATTCCAACTGCCTTAAAAATCTCCTGCCTTCCCTGTTCTTCTGTTTATGCCCTTCCTTTCACTGCTTAGAAGTCCCGTGAGTCTCAGCCTGAGGTGTCAGGGGGCTCATGGTGCCTTTATACCAGCATCTTCCGAAGAGCCCAGAAGATTTTACACCAGGCTTCCTGAAATTTTTTGAGCAGGCAGGACAGAAATAGAAAAGCCGAGTATTGGTGGCACCCCTATGGCCTCTTGCCTCTCCTGTCTTTTTTCCTCATTATTTTTGGTGTTTGTTTCTATAATGGCTTCTTTGTGTTTACTTTGTTATTGATGGTTTCTGTAACTAGATTCTTCTAGACTTTGCTTTTGAGATGCCTCTGTTTTTATGGAAAGGTTGACAGTTACTTTAGATAACAGTAACATCTCCCAGTGGGACATAACTGTCATGGTTTATTTTGTGCCTTGTGTTACATTTTAACTTTCTGGTCATTGAAACTGGGTCTAGTTCTAAGTGTGTGAGTTTTGGCATTTTGATAAAAATGACTCAAGTTATGTTTTTGTTGGTAAAGCAGCAGAGGAGCTTGCTTCATGCAGCTGACCTCGTACTGGATTAGAAAGTTTATACAGAAATCACGGTGAGCTAAATCAGTGTGCCGTTAGTATACAGTTGATTAGAACGACAGTATAGGTTTACAGTTAGAAACAGTGTTTTACTTTTCGACACCTGCAAACACCTGCTTCCAGGTAAAAACGTGATTAAGTATAACACCACAATCCTCTGATCATGGTGAACCATAATAACGCCTTTTGGAAGGCCTAGTGATTGCTTAATGTGTATTGTTGCTCTGTAATGATAGGTACTGTGGTCCTGAAGCCTTATTTGTCATTGACTCCTGAAGACTTTAATTAGCATGCTATTTTGCATTATATTTGCAGGAACTAATGTTATTTGATTTTTTTTTTTTTTTTGTCATTTAAAGGATGTCCCGGAAACCAAGAATTTGTAATAGACACATCTTGTCCTCAGCTAGAAGGCAGTTTCCAGTTGCAAACTTGGCTTTCATTAACAATGGCAGTTATATATCTTTTAAGGGTGGTGAAATTTGTCTTCATTTAGACCTTACTGCTGATATAACCATAGTATTTCTAGTTTGAAAGCCAAGGGAATACTGTATTGTCTGTATTATGCTCATTTAGAGACACTATACAGTAGTTGGATTTGATATTACACTCAGGTGCTGTTTGGCTTTTTAAACAATAGGCAGATAGTTTGTTTAGATTCTATATGGAAGCAGAAATAAAGGGGCTCTGTGTTGTCAGAAAACATTTTAAATCTCAGGATGGGGGGGGGAAGTTGTATAATTACTGTCTGTTTAGTAGTCTCTTATACTCCCGTGCACATTAAATCTTGTGAATATTTAATAAAAAGAGAGTTGCCATTGAAATACTTTGCGTAGCAACTTTGGGCTGATAGATATTTAAGTTTTTGAATACCACACTTAATTTTTTTTTTTAATACCACACTTAATTTTTGTGCTTAATTTTGTTAGAAGAATTACATTCTGGAGTAGTACTGCTATTCTTTTTAAAATTTTAAAAATCACTGGCTAAAAAACTAACAAAGAAAAAAATAATAGCTACACTCCTGAAATGTGTATTTGAATAATAAATTTGTGTGTTTTTACCTAACCAAGAAATGAGAGTATATATCTTAATATTAATGATATTAGCCAAAAATTAACTTTGGCAGCACAGGAGAAATCAATGTAGGGAATTAGAGGAGTCCCTGTCTTATGCCTTATCTAATTGACTAACTCCACCTGCTATGAGTAAGGTCTGTTGCTTTGTTGAAAAACAGAAGCTTCTTGTTTATCTTAAATGTTTAGAATTTAATTGTGTTGCCATGTGGATAAGTGTAGGCATCACCCCCTCCCCCCAGGAGTATATTGGAAAGGTAAAGAACAAACAAATAACAAACAATCCTTTTCCAATAAAGAATTGTGACACTTTAATAAAATATATCCAACATAATACAATAAAGATAGCATAGATGTCAAGAGAGATGTATTTGAACATCTAAAGATATATATTTCAAAG